TAGGGGGCAAAATAACAGCTAGAATAGCATCATAGTGGTCCCTAATGACTAAAAACTGTCTCCAATAGAAAAATCTAACTTTTTAAGTATAAAAAGAAGCTTTAACAGTCAAAGAAAGTAAATTTGAAGAGAGAAGAGCCATTTTGAGCAAAAAGCTAAACATCATTTATTAAAACTAGTTGTTCTTCATTCTAAATCTAGAAAAAGTATTTGAGCTTAACTATAATCTATCCAAATTTATAAAGTGTCAGAGTTGTACTTCTTTTTCTTCTTTTTCTATGGAAATTAGAGAGTGGGAAGCTTGTCACCTGTGTCACACATGACCTCACACTATTAGAGGCATAGTTAGGCAAAATGTATATGATACGTTTAGATAAAAAGTTGTCACCTAACTGATCTAGGAGTTGTATAAGATACAATTGATAAGCTAAGTTATTAACCTAATTAGTTTTATTATGGCTTGTTGAGTCACTCAAGGTCATGGTGGGATGAAAAGGGTTCTAGCTCAATAAGAAGTTTAAAGGTTAAATTTTTTGAAATAGTAAAAGAGGGCTATTATTTTGATAAAATATTGAGAATAATCATATAAGATTTTAAAACCTTATCTTTATGATTATATAATTTGCATTAATGACTAAAAATCGTAGATGTTGATTTATATAGGATATAAATCTATCATGGCAAATAGTTTGTCACTTAGAAACATACTTGATGCAAATAAGTTGACAGACTCAAATTTCATTAACTAGTTTTGTAATATCAAGATTCCCTTGAAACAAGAGAAAAAGACTTATGTTCTAGATGATTTTGTTCTTGAGGAACCTAGCAATGATGCTACAAATGAGGAAAATGAGGCCTATAAAGTTTATATGGATGATCTCGATCAAGCCACATGTGTGATGTTGGCTAATATGGTTCAAATCTTCAAAAGCAACATGAAGCTATGAATGCCCTGAATATTATCCTAAACCTTAGAGAAATGTTCAATAAGGAAAGTCGCACAGAGAGAGTTGACATTTCAAGAGAATTGTTCTGATATAAGATGTTTGAGGGAAGCCCAATAAAGCCTCATGTGCTTAAGATGATAAGATATATTACTCGACTTGAGTAGTTGGGTTGGGTTATAGATCATGATTTGAGCATAGAACTTATACTTTCTTCACTACCAGAGAGCTATTCACAGTTTGTGTTGAGCTTTAACATGAACAAGATTGCGGTAACCCTTTTAGGCTTATTGAATATGCTCACACAGGTTGAGAACACCATTGCGAAAGAGAAGCCTTTTGTTCATTTTGTCTCTTCTAAGAAAAATATAAATAAAAAAAAATTTCTAAGAAAGACAAGGATTAAAAGGCATTAACTTCAAAAGGTATAAAGTTTACTGGAATAGTGAAGAAGGACAAGGACAATGACAAATGCCATTTTTGTGGTAAACTTGGGCACTAGAAGTGCAATTACAAGGATTATCTTGAATCCATCAATGGGAATAAACAAAAGAAAGCTTCCACAT